GTGTGTGTGTGTGTGTGTCTGTGTGTGAAACAGTGAGGAGTTGTGTGTTGGTTTGTTTGCATCATCTCTGGGTGGTTTTAGTTTCCTAAACTTTAACTTTGACCTGTAACTTATTTATTTACAGTCTTCAGTTAAAACTCCTGATGAGAAATTGTTCCTTCAGCATTTAAATGTTTTATTTCATTAGTAACTGATGGAACCATGTTTTATATTTAAATCAAAACATTCACTTTTAACTTAAATCTTTACGAGAGACTCTGACATCATCATTTCATTCAGTCCAGAATCGTCCGGATGAGGTAAAGTTTTCTCCCTGACAGAAAAAGAAGTGAATTCTCTCGTGTGATCGTAGTTTGCTGACGTCTCACGAGTCGAGACCGTCTCTGACCTCAGGGAGGCGCTAACAGTCCACCCGAGCTCAGAGCCTCCGAGCGTCTCCAGTGATCCGGACTCTATTTAAAGCAGCAGTTGACCTGCGGCTGTCACTGAGGAATGCTGAGCTGGGAAAGTGCCGGTCACACATGCAGCCGACCAACGTGCACGAGTGTACGAGCACATGTTGTCACATTCTGCGCACACATGCTCGAGAGCTGCACAGAGAAAATAAACACAGAGAAGGAGTCTGAAGATTTTCTACTTAGAAGCAAAGACAGAAATAAAACACACAAACACAGTGAAGGTCCTGCAGGACGGACACGGCCCCGGGCCCCCGGGCCCCCGGGTGTTTCCTCTGAAAAGGCTCCTGCAGATAAAACCTCAATTTGTGTGACGCTGATACAGACCACAGAGTGATGACTGTGAATCTGTGTAAAACAACCACACATCTGCTTCTCGTAGGACGCACATCCATCAACACAGCAACGGTAGCTGTCGTTTGTCCGAACCAGAAGATTTTCTTTTCAAAAATTATTTTCATCCTAATTTTTTCCAGAAAATTTTAGCCTCCACCAACATCATGACATAAATTACTGCTCATAAAACGAGACTGTAAAGTCTGAGACGTGTGGATTTAAATCTATTAATCACAGCTACACTCAAGTCTTCGGGAATTACAAGGGATTTGGTTAAAAATCAGCAGAGTAACAAACCTTTTTAAGAGCAACTTAACACTCCATAAAAACTCAAACCCAGAGAGAAGATTTGTGGATTTTCTCTGGAACAGTTTTCTCTACAAACTTTGACCAACTGATGGAAATACAATTATTTTACATTGTTGTATAACGTACGAGCTCGGAGACTGAGACAACTTTCTCTCTGATGAGTTTAGTTTGACCTAATATTTAAAGGTTTATATTTATGATGTGTAGAGAATCAGCAGTGACGCTGTGAACACAACAACCAGACAAACAACATTTAAGAGAAAAGAAGAATCCAACCACGACTCTGGGTAAAAAGAAAACTTAGCTCGTTGTTTTAAACTGTTTTAAATAATAATTTGTCACTGAGTCGGGTGATTTATTGGAATTCACTGAGAGTTGTTTAGTCTAAAATATAAATATAATATATGATGACGATAAAATATTTTCCCAGGTGACACATGGAGACAGAAAGTTTAACATCTCTAGTTGTTGAATGATTCAAACAACAAAGTACCTGAATTTAAATAAGTACAGACCCATGAAACCTACAAGTGCAGTAACTATGTCAAAGTACTTTGTAAGTTCCACCACTGACGGAGAATAAAGCAGCTCCGTGTCTGTGACCTCATGGACTTTTCAAACTAAACTCAGAGGACCTGAGACAAATGTGTCAAAATACTTCTCGTCTAACCTCAGAGGCCTCGACTGGTCACATGACCCACAGCTCTTTGTCCAAAACCAATCATGGAGAGGAGAGAGGCAGAAACCTTCCTGACGACAGCTTTTAACAAGAGTTCACACACGAAACTGGAAATAATCTGCACAAAGACATTTCTGGGCTTCGGGACACATGTTGTAATACGTGACGGTTTGTTGGCCTCGATGAGAGAGTTCGTCACAAGCCGCCGCCAGCGAGCTGCGGCAGCTCGTCCAGGGGTCACGCACCGAGCCGGCTGAATTTATTACAACACGACGTGTCCGAGGAATTAAATCATCCTAATTCTGCCGGACTTTTCCAGCATCGGAGCAAAATCTTTAACCAGAGAAGAAAGATTAGAGCGTTTTTTTTCCAGGATTTTAAACTTTTCCAGCCACCGTGTCGTTTTTATTCGGGAACCGACTTCATCAGAATCAGACGGAACCAGGTCCTGAGATGCGTGAAGGACGATCCACTGCAGTTATTTTCCACATTTTTGTCCGTTCACATGCACCAGCGGCTGCTATTTTGTTGCCATGGCAGCGCGGCGGGAGGCAGCCATAACAGCGCCCCGGCCTCCTGCTTCATCTTCGTGCCGAGGGAGGTTTGAAAAGCAGCTCTGCAGGACCAGGAGGGTAATTGGATGTTTGCATGTGAGCGTGTGTGTGTGTGTGTGTGTGTGTGTGTGTGT